TAAGGCTTAATGAAGCTGTACCCTTGATAATAATGGTAGGTGCCCAGATAAAAAAAAGACAACATTAGGTATTAACTATAGTTTTATCAATTCATGTAATGAATTATGATTTTTAAATTAAGACATATTGCATCAACATATATGTACATCAACATATATTTGCCCGATCACATTTACTTGTGAATATTATCGAAAACAATAATGTATATACATATGAGACCAAGCACCATATTAATTTACATCACATGTTTGTCAGTGCACAGATAACACTCCTTAGAAAGTCACTTGAACATCATCATTTTCTCCTTTCACCTTGTTCTTGACATACAGGAAGCCATCTAGAAGGGTGATCTGAAAAAAGTCATGGGAAAATAAGTCATGTGTAAAAATAACTATTATAAAACATCCTGTTCTCCAGTTATATACTTTGTTTATACTGACTTTCATAAATAGTACTATTTCACTTTCATCTTCAAATAATCTTAAGTAATAAAAACATCCTGTTCTCCAAATATTTGCAAAATATAATTCAACAAGTGTTAAAAAAACGTCCTATTCTCCAGTTATTTCTACTTGTATGACCTTGAGTGTTTTCTTTATGAACATGATGTAACTGGCCTCGAACATGTAAATAAGCTTATTGAGGACCAGCTTGGTATATTTATGAAATTGTTGATATTACTTTACGCTGACGATACTGTCATATTAGCTGAAACAAGTGATGGATTGCAAAAATCTTTCAGTGTGTTTGACCAGTATTGGAAATAAAGGAAACACATTATGAATTTAGATGTCTGTGATGAACTTCACTTTTTATTATACTGTCCAGCACTAAAAAACCCTCAGAAATCAATGTCTTCCCCAATATTTCTGTAAACATCCTTCTACTGAAAAAATATGTTTATCTAATGAAATGTGATTATTCCCCATTTAACTCAAAACTGGGCTTTGTTCAATGTTATAATATGTATCAATATGCTGTATGTTCTCTGTGTCACTATATGTGATTTTTTAGAATAAAATTCCGGTTCTAATCTGTTCTATTCAGTAAAAGGATTAGTAACATGTTACCATACCCTGTAGTGACTCTGGGTCAGCTCATTAAGTAAATAGGGGTGGACAGCATGGCTCAGCTGATTTGTGTACTCATTGAGTCTGTCTTATGGGTGGTCTGTCTTTGGGAGGTCTGTCTTTTGGGAGTGAACCATTACAATGCATCCACGGGCTTAGCACTCAGTACAGCCTTGGAGCAAGGCTAGCAGAGGTGAGGCTGTGGCCTCTCCCACAGAACTGGAACCAAAGTATGTTACGTTCCCAGGCTTAATGTAACACGGACGAGATCTGGTTTATTGGACACCAGATGCTGCGGGATATTTTACTGTATCCGATCAAATATGTTGACACTTCATCAGCATCAACTAACCCAACTTATATACAGGTCTCGGTAACAAAGCAAAGTACATTCCTACAAAATACGTATATTTATTTGAATTGAGACTATGCTAGTGGTATGTGTCCCAGAAATGTACCAAGCTTTAATGTATAATTTAATAACAGACATATTGCCAGAGGGGCACAAGAAGGTATTATCTCGATTGCAACTTAAAGAATTCTGGACTCTGAGCCGCTGATCACACCCATAAACAAATAATGAATACTGTGCCTCCTCATTTTGTTTAAATTATTTAAGAATTATAATATGTTTTTGGTGTACTGCAGTATGGACAATTGAAATGTGCAACCTACAGTCCTGCCACTGTCCAGGCTTATCTAGACCAACGCTTAATCTCTGAAATTATATAAGTCTGATACAAACAAATAATTCCATATAAATTGAAAAGGAGCCCCAGTGAGATGGGAGATTCAGGACTGAACCTGGGAAATCTAGACTTGTTTCATCAAGAACTTTTGTATTGCAGAAAGGGCAGGGCGGAAGGGAAAATAATGTGGTTCAGGGACTGTGAGACAGGCTAGGGCTTGTCATATTTCAATCGTCCTTACTCCAGTAAACCAAGGCAAAATAAAATTCCTTTTGCTAAATTTACCGTTTGCATAAAAATTATGTAAGGTCAATTTGTTCTTCTGCACGTAGCCTTGTCATTGTGCCTCGTGAGAATACACTCAGACCTACTCTGTTGAGTAGACCGTTACTTCGTCTAAGAGGGTCTCATCTCCTTCGGGACCTTTGCCTGTCAAAGGCATGTCGTTGATTTTTCCCTTGGGTTGTACAGAATGATACCACAGAGTACAGTAATCCCGATGATAGGCAAGTGTTGATAAGATTACAGTTCACGACAGTTTTCTAAAGGACAATTTGTTCGTATTTTTCATGTCATTTATCAGTTACGCTATATACTAATGATTATTCCTTTAGAAACTCTTGTTGTAAGAGGTGACTAACTGGATCGGGCGCTCAGGCTCGCTGACTTGGTTGACATATGTCATCGGTTCCCAATTGCGCAGATCGATGCTCATGCTGTTGATCACTGGATTGTCTGGTCCAGACTCGATTATTTACAGATCGCTGCCATATAGGTGGAATATTGCTGAGTGCGTCGTAAAACTAAACTCACTCCTTTAGAAACTTGAACGCTGAGCGTGTGATGTTAGCTGAGGAGAAACACTGACACCCACATCCCTCAGCCGTCCACCATATATTGTGACATTTTATACAAATCTTCTATGCGGATTTTAAATCGAGTATTCCCATTTTTCTTAAGCAAACTTCGATTCAAGCATTCCAATCGAAACTAAATTAAGAAATCCCGATACTTTGCGTAAGCAATGATATGCATTTTGTGGTAAACTTATTTGATTTATACTATTGATTCTTATGATATCCATTTGTATGTTATTAAACTATGTATTCCGTTTAGGATTATGCACATACTTTGGCATTTTTAGACTGACACAGGTCCTGTATGTGTTTTCATTCTAAACACATTTTGAAAGTGAGAAAATACCATGCGTGGCCATGAAATGAGGGGACCTATACGTTTGTGACAAGACAGTACAAGGCTGCAAGGAGAGATATTGTGTTCGCCTTCTCTGAGATCAGAAATACATTTACTGTTCCGTAAATATATAGATACATTTTTAGTGTAGAAGTAACTTGGCGGGGATATGTTCTCGTTCTCGCAAAGGGAAACAGCAATGGCAACAACACTAAATCGTTGAAAACTGAAAAATGTCCCTTCGCGGCCCTGGTTGAGAGTGCGTTTTGGTGAATTGGCACACCACGAAATCATTGAACGTCATTCTATATTTTTCACTCCTGAGATGAATATCAACATTTTATTCTCACACAGTACCTTTGTGTCTCATCTCTTAAGTTAATTTTTTTTTAAATATTGAAAAATGCAAAAAACATGCCCTCATCTTGAACAGAGTGCCTTTTATATATATGAGGGTGGGTGGGTAGCCTAGTGGTTAAAGCGTGCGCTCGTCACGCCAAAGACCCGGGTTCGATTCCCCACATGGGTACAATGTGTGAAACCGATTTCTGGTGTCCCCCGCCCTGATATTGCTGGAATATTGCTAAAAGCGGCATAAAACTAAACTCACTCACTCATAGTCGAGGGCGCGTGTTGTGTTGAAAACAGCGGCTGCAACACCACTAAACCGTTGAACCAAGTCTCATTCTATTTTTTTAAATCCTGAGATGTCATCTGCATTTTATGCAGAGACAATACCTTCCAATTTCGTCTCCAAGTTATTTTGAAAAATCGTTGAAAGCTGCAACGAATGTCGTCTCAGCATGGACTTATTGCTACACTACAGGGCTACAGAGCTACACTTATGAAAAATGATGAGTCATTCTTGTGACGGACTTCTTAAAAAATACATCAAGAAGTAATGACTCCGTGGGTTGTGTTTCTGCGATCTGTTCTTTGGTCAAAAACTCTTTTTTCGTGTCAAACAGATCAAGCGTGAATCGTGGTGCCAGTGGTCCGATTATGTGCAGTGCTCAAAGTGAATATGTATTTCAAGTGCATAACAAATACGTTGTAAAATAATGTACGGGCGCAGTCTAGGTAAACTTAGGCTCAGTATTATTTGTTACACTGCTATACTATGTACGGGTGGTAACGTGGAATGTGAGAATGCATGATAGATTAAAGTTTAAAAGTATTTCTAACTAGAAATCTCAAACTAAGTCGTGTTCACAGTTCTTGAGGATTGTCGGAGGCTGTGGTCGGAAAGTTGACTGCCACGGTTATATTATAAGGCAACAATGAAAGTGGTGTCTTTTCGCTTTTGTTTTGACCGAAATGATTTGTGCCTGGATATGCTTGATAAACGCCTCGGCATTTCCATACAAGATAATCAAAATAATACTTGATGAACGTGCTGGCTGTCCTTAATAACACGATGTGAAAGAATGTAGGATCTTCATACCAGGAAAATAAGGCGTTTTACTTATTGCTATTCGTGAAGATCCGGCTGAGAATTGGTCTTCAGTAACCCATGCTTGTCGTAAGAGGCGACTAGCCGGATCGGGTGGTCAGGCTCGCTGACTTGGTTGACACATGTCATCGTATCCCAACTGCATCGATCGATGCTATTGCCATTGATCACTGGATTGTCTAGTCCAGACTCGAATATTTACAGACCACCGCCAATTATTGTAGTATAGATGGCTGAGTGAAGAGTTACACAACAAACAAACAAACCTTACAGCTAATGAGTAAAACAGTGTACGTACTGATGAAAGTATTATTTCTGCGGCCGTATACGATATTGTGAACCATTATTTAACGAAAAAGGAAACACCAACTAGAATTGCCCACGAACTGCCCAGCAAAAAAAACCCCACAATATCTGCACATGTATTTTCGACAGTCACAATGATACCGTGATGTGTGGTCGAAAAGTCAACTGCCACAGTTAGATTATAAGATAAAAATAAGCGTGGTGGATTGTTTTACTTTTGCAGTCTGCCAAAGTCGTCGTATCCGAGAGAATGTAAAACAGCGACAACTTTTCATATACGGCCCCCGATATCAAAGGGAGGTTACTCTAATCTTTGTATGACCGCTTAATGGAGTTACGTCCCCTCGATGTTTCGCCAAATGTTGAAAGAGTTGTTTGAAAGTTATTGAAATCGAATAGATCTGTGATGCAATCATGTTACAAGGGTCTGTTCATTTCAACCGCCAAGGCGGTAAGGTTGTCATATTTTCCTGTGTGGCGGAGACACTTCATTAGAAGGAGAATGGATGACATTCAGAAATGGATTCAGTGTGGACGATACCGGGTGTTTGCGTGGTCGATAGCAGGGCATGGAGACAAGCGTGGTGGTGAAGTCTAACGACCTACAGGTTGCCTTTGACATGGGCTATTCATCGAGGGAGAGTATCAAGTGCAGGGATGTATTTATCAGGTAATTTTGTTTCTCACTCTCAGTCTGAGGTGTATTCGTCAGGTTGTCATCAATTGAGACTGAGAGCTTTAGTTGTATGGTTGTATGTAGATCAGGTTGTTCACTCAAGAAAGGGGATTCTATTCATCAGGTATGGGGCAAGTGTATGATTCTATTCATCAGGAATCATGTCAAGAGAGGGTCAGGTGTAGGGTTTTATTCATCAGGTTATCCATTGAAGAGAGGGTCAGGTGTATGGTTGTATTCATCAAGTTGTTCGATCAAGAGAGGGTCAATTGTAGGGATGTATACATCAGGTTGTCCGCTCAAGAGAGGGTCAGGTGTATATGGTTGTATTCATCCGGTTGTCCACTCAAGAGAGGGTCAGGTGTAGGGTAGTATTCATCAGGTTATCCACTCAAGAGAGGGTCAGGTATAGGGTTGTATTCAACAGGTTATCTACTCAAGAAAGGGTCAGATGGAGGGTTGTATTCGTCATGTTAACACCTTGGGAGAACATTAGTAGGAGGGTTGTATTCATCAGGTTATTGTCTAGGGAGAGTGTCAAGTACACATATGTATTCATCAGAATATCATCATGAGTGAGTATCAGGTGTATGCAGTGTATTGACCATCTTCATTGGGCCTAAAATAAAATGTTTTTTTTTAAGAGGACTGAATAAAATAAGCTTTCAGATGCCATTGTTTTTTCCCTGCGCTAACAGATATCTGGTCATTCTGATAGAGAAAGTTGATATGATGGCTGCAAATCCTACCTACCTACAATTACAAATTTTAAAGAGTGTAATTAGTTTACAACATTTTTTTTAGCTGGCCTTATCAAATGTTTAATTTTGTTATTTTCCTTTTAGAGTCTTACATATTCTATCTAGTTTATACCAATGTGCTGCTGACATGGTTCAGCTGGCCTGAACTGCCAATTAGATTTTTTTCCTTTTAGAGTTTCAAATTCTTTCTTCTGTTTAACAATTGGTCAAGCATCCAAGTTTCCTTAATTTAGGTTGGACAGTTAAATTTGATCAATCAGGTCAACTGATAATATTTCCTCATTTAGGGTTGGATGCCTTTGGGTTGTTGTAAAATCTACACACACACAGGAAATGTCCAGAGTAAACGATTCGATTTAAATGAGAAAATCTGATAAAAATGAAGTGGGTGACACCTCTTACCAGTGCTGAAACAAATCTTTGGCAGCAAATTTATCCAGGGTTATTTGTCAATATAATATTGGTATCATGGTCACATGATGATAAATCGAGAGTACTTATCGCAGTAGAATGGAGACTATATCGAGAATCACTGACCCAGTACGTTTGTTTCCAGCCATGGCCACATGGACCACATCGCGGCACTGCCTCACCACGCCACCAAGCGAAGTCTGTTCAGTCTTCCCGCCCCAACTACTACGTCCCCGCACATCTCCCCGACCTCATCCGATCTGTTGCCCAGGGATACAAGACTATAGACGAGACAACCACAGCTCTGACCAACATGAGCATTGTACCACTCGGTCCAGATGACGTCGCCAAGGTGAGAATGTTTTCATGAAACATGGTTATATTAATATTCTTTCTTTGTATAAAATTGTATCTGGTTTTAAAACAGCATTTAGAAGATGTAAAGATAAAGGACAGAATCTATAGATGTAAACCACTTTATTGAAAAGGAATGTAAAATCTCGGAGTATATTATTCCTCCTTCTGTTACCTGATGAAGGAGTAAGTGTATACTCTGAAATGTGTTCCTTATAATAAAGTGAATGAATGAGTGAGTAAGTTTTTATGCCGCTTTTAGCAATATTCCAGCAATATCACGGTGGGGGACACCAGAAATGGGCTTCACACATTGTACCCATATGGGACATCAAACTCGGGTCTTCAGTGTGACGAGTCGACGCTTTAACCATTAGGCTACCTCACTGCTCCCTTACAATAAAGAAGCTGACATCCATATATTCTCTCTTGTATATAACTGTATGTCAAAGTGTCTATTTACTAGGAGGAAGCAATTAATGTGAATGACAAAACATAACAATAAAATATAATTGCCATGGATTATTGGGAATCAGGCATGATAATCACATGATAAACTATTTGTCATGATTACCATGATGACCCATGAATTTAACCGTGTCATCACAAAGATGCAAGGGATGTTGGGTAACCTAGTGGTTAAAGCATTCGCTCGTCACGCCGAAGGCCCTGTTTCGATTTTCCACATGGGTACAATGTGTGAAGCCCATTTCTGGTGTCCCCCATGATATTGCAGGATATTGCTAAATGCAGCTGTAAAACTAAACTCAATCCACTGAGTAAAACCAAACTCACTAACTCACAAAGATGCACTGTACAGGCACCTGGTGCTCATCTGTTCCTATGATCCTAGGAAAAACTACACTGCCTTTGGTCAGAAGCCATGTAATTATCAATATTTTTCATAATAATAATAATCATGGTAATCATTTTATCAGTTTCCAGCTTACAGGGATTTACCAAGACTTGCTTAGAGGCTGATATTCCGCCACAACTCCACAGCAGTAGTCAGTAAATATTTGCAAATGGGGATTAAAAAGTTCCTTATTTTTCTTTTAATGTATGTACAGGATGTTTATCATGGCTTGTTGGAGGGGACTTCTATTCCACTGATAACAGGATTAATATTGAGGAAGAGACTCATCTTCCTATTACTGTGTTGAATGCAGTGTTAAAATACCCTTGAAAATAATAACTAATAAATATCCCAGTTTTGAACAATATTACATTTTTCCCAAGTTTCCCTGCTAAGGGCTGTTAGTTTGGATCCTATAAAAATCCCTGCCCTACTTTTTCCACAGCTGCCTAAAGGGTACTTTGTGAAGTCATTCCCCACGGTCCACCGCATCCCGAGCCAGGGCTACATCGTGTACAAGACGAGCCAGCAGCTGAAGCCAGAGTACCAGGACCAACCTGGCGCTGACCTTGGCGCCCTACACAGGAGTGGTGTACAGATACATGACACCGTTACCACGCCAGAGATAGCCTACCTAGGTGAGACTGATCTCTTCTACTGTGCCTCATAGTTGTGTCCCTTTGTTGCAAGGATCTGCTGATTCAGGTTTGAATCCTATTTGGATCTTTGTCTGTGACTAGAATTCACTAGTATCTTGTATAATGCTGCACTGCATCCCAGGTGTGAGCTGAGATGGGTTGCCGACAGAGTCAGGTAACATCAGGTAACAATATTTAGATATCTTTTGGCGTGATGGCAAGGGATAGAACCCCGATGTTCCACTGTCTGAAGACCAGTTATCCTACTTCCAAATACTGTTTTAAGTTGTTTAACTTCACTCACTCTCTTAGTTATTACTTCCAAAAACTTGTGTTTTCCGAATTTTATTATTGTCATTAAGAAACTATATGTAGAGAGTTTGATGTACATGTTGTCTCATTTATGTTCACTTTTCCAGGTGACACAACCTTCGAAGTATTTCTTTCACCTCCAACCCCTGACCTGTTGAAGGTCAAGGTCATCATAACTGAGGCGACATACATTGAGGAGAAAAGCCAGCAAGGATTATGTTCAACAGGCTCGGGAACGAGGCCACACGCATTTGTCCGAGATAGTGTCAAACTCACATTTATTTGATGAGGTGGACAATATAGTGATCATGCATTTATCAGACAAATACTCTGTGGACTTTATCAGGGACAGGTGTACTGAAATGATCCCGCTGCCATTTAGAAGAAAAGTCAGGATTGCCACTCTGGCTAAGGAGCAGACATCATGATGATGTTTTCAAACTAGTAGAGTCAATACCTACAACTGCCTTGGAGTCACTGTGTCAATGTTTTTGTTTTAGTGGCATTGTCTCTGTGTCATTGTGGCATCAGGGATAGAAATACTTTTTTTTCTAAGTGTGCCTTAGGGCACCAGACAAATATTTTAGGTGTGCCTTTCTGAAATCGAGTATGCCCACATGTTTTTAGAATAAATGACAATGATGATGATCATTTGAAATTTATTGTTAAATAAAGAAATCGGTTTATGAGCATTCAGATATGTATGGTATTATTCAATTTGGAAAAAAAAAATAAAAAAAATTTGGGGATTAAATGACTAAATGTGAGTTATGTCTCTTAAAAAATTAGGCGTGTCAAAAGGGCACCGAGAACATATTTTAGCCGTGCCATTTCTGTATTTACCGTGCCATGGCACACTAATATATGGGGTATTTCAAACCCTGGGCATTGTTTCTAGCATTCTGACTGTGCCATTGTTTCAGTGACATTATGTCTGTCATTGTCAGTGACATTGTGTCTGTCATTGTCAGTGACATTATGTCTGTCATAGTCAGTGACATTGTGTCTGTCATTGTCAGTGGTATTGTGTCAATGTCATTGTGACTGTGTCATTGTGTCAGTGACAATATTTCAGGATCATTGTGTCAGTGCAATTGTGTACGTGTCCTTGTTCCAGCAGTAATACAGTGTTTTGGCCATCTCCCCCATCAACGCAAATATTATTGTATTCATACTGCCCGCTCTTGGACTCACAGAGTAAAACAACATCTTTCTCATCTCCATCACTGTGTGTTACTATGGTTACTGAGATATTTACTGTGGCTGTATTTATTGTCAACCACAATAGTTGCTAGAATGTTTGATTACTATGGCGTTATCTAGTTGTTGTGTTTCATAATGGAGACATCATGAGAATGTGTTGATTTACTTCCGAGGTTAACCGATTCTTTGACTTAAACAATTTTGTGATGTGGACACAATTTCTCTACTGTTTTGTATGATGGCTAATATTTGCATCAGTTGTTGAAATGCATGTTCAGAAGCGCTGGTGAGTTCTTTACTCAGAATAAGTGGCAGGAAAATAGCGGGACATCATAGAATTGGTTTACACATGATCATTAATTTTGTACTTGTTATATATTTGTAAAAGACATATTTGAATATACATTCATCAGGTTACCATCTTTGACTCTTGAAAGAAACATCTCCCAAATCCTAATGCCCATAGGTTTGAAACTTCTCTATGGATATGATAGGATATATACTGCATAAAATAAGTTAAGGATATTGGTATTTGTATAATTGATAATTTATCAGTGTGTCAATGAATGAATAGATCATTATTCATAGTTTCAAAATGTACATATATCCCTAACTACTTTTGGCCAGTATATTTAGAGATGACATTTGGTGTATAACAGAGTCATTTTATTGTGTGAATGTTGCTGGAATTTGGTGAATGAGTGAGTGAGTGTATAGTTTTGCGACACTTTTAGCAATATTCCAGCGATACCATGGCGGGGGACACCCAAAATGGGTTTCACACATTGTGCCAATGTGGGGAATCAAACCTGTATTATCAGAATGATGAGCGAATGCTTTAACATCAGGCTACCCCTCTGCCCCATTTGATGAATGAATGGTATTTCGGATTGCAAAACCACAGCAACATATACTTACATGCAACTATCGCCTTCATTTTGTGGACTTAATCTCCTATACATTATCCATATCTATGTTTTGAGTAGAAACCCTGTTAGTGTGAAGTGAAACCTTTCTCATGGTTCATGCTGTCAGTAGTGCAAAACTATGGTATGTGTTGAGACACTTTCTGTGTGAATCTATATTTAGCTGATAACCCTGCTGAGACTGCTCTGTTGTTTAACATTCAATACAGTTTGGTATCTTGTGGGATTAGCTCGTCCAGGTGAGTGAGTATGATTCTACGCCCACCTTTTGCAATATTCCAGCAATATAACGGCGAAGGATACCAGAAATAGGCTTCACACATTGTATCCATCTGGGAAATCAAACCCGGGTCTTTGGCGTGATGAGCCAATGCTTTAACCACTAGGCTACCCCACCTCCCGTCATCCATTTGAAAAAATGCTCATACAGAAATAAAACAAGCAACACAATGAGTTCTTGTTCTCAGTGAGTGAGTGAGTTCTTGTTCTCAGTGAGTGAGTGAGTGAGTGTAGTACATTGCTCTCGGCAGTATTTCAGCAATATTGGGACAGGTGCACTGAGAACTGGTTTCACACAGAGTACAAAGTGAAGAATTGACAGATCTATACTTTATCCACAAGACTCCCCACCACACAAGTAGAGTTTCTTAGGGTTACACCCAGCTCTAGTTCTTGTTACCTCCGACATTTGTAATAATTCCATTGAAATAAACAGTTTTACTGTTAGACAGTGCTGTGTTGTTTATACTGTCAAAGACAGTGAATTTCTCATGCTAATGTTTCTTCTCACAAGAACAGCTGACTTCACCTCATGGGTGGAGATTGGGGAGGATGAAATATTGTCCATTTATTTTAAAATCTGGCTTACAATGGCCTAGACTTAAAAATATTGATGACATGAGAAGAAAAAGCGAGAATATTTTTTAGTTATCTCATTTCGCTGACCTGAAATAAGATATTTTTTAAAAAGGAAATTTTGATATTTATACAGTCTAAGTAAAGTTAGGCTCAGTATTATTCTTTAAACTGCTATACTGAGTCTTAACATAACCTATTAGAATGTCGCGTCAGCTAACCTTTTGGACTGACCAATCAGAACAAAGCTTACCAATCACGAAAGTTAACATTCTAACATACCATTTGAACCTTTACCTCAAAAACTCGAACGATTCCAAATGCTATTTTCCGCACGATTGTTTCCGAGTGATACACACAATGAGTAAACAATCGCTGAAAATAGCGTTTTCTGTCAATATTTAAGGATGTCATCTTGCGAAAATATAAGCACATAGCAACCATGTCATTAGAAACCCAAAAGCATATAAACTGCAGGTCAAATATCTCTGGTTTTTTTGCGGATTTTCTTAGTTGATAGATCAGTGTCAGCGACAAGGTAAGAGAAAATCCAAAAACCGTTTTGTAAGTCCCGTCGAACCCTAAACAAGTAGTCATTGTCTCATTGGTTAAATCCGTTTGGCCATCTTGCGTCTGATTGGACGGTTATAGGTCGCTCAAAGGTAAGGTGACATGACCTTCTAATAGGTTTTGTTAGACTCAGTATAGCAGTGTAATGAATAATACTGAGCCTAAGTTTACTGAGACTGGATATTTATATTTCTTTACTCTGAAGTATTGAGTTTATGGTAGTCTTCAGTTTCTTCAAATCATGAATATTATATTTTTAACATTTTCTAAACATGAGAAACATGTAACAAAATCAAAGTAATTTGTACAAACAAAGGAAAATATCACAATTTTGTCAAAAATGAACTGCTTTAGTGTTGCTAGTTGCAATCTGTGCAAGAAAGGTCTACTAGCCCAAATGTTACAATTACATTTCATTGTAATTATATGGTAGTTTATATTAGCTGATCTTACTAGACTGAAAGGAATTAATCTGGACATTGACTTCAGACCGTTCATAATTTATTTATTTATTTATTTATTTATATTTATTTTTTTTTGGGGAGAGGAGTGTGTGTGTGTGTGTGTGTGTGTGTGTGTGTGTGTGTGTGTGTGTGTGTGTGTGTGTGTGTGTGTGTGTGTGTGTGTGTGATATGATGATTTTTATGGAGGAGCATGTACAATGTGAATGACCCCCCTAAAATTTATGTACCAAAAAAGTGACCCCCCTGCATGTCATGTACAAAATCACCCCCATCTTCCCACAATTTCTAAACATAATTATTATTGTTATGTACAAAATTGCTGACCCCCTTAGTACGTGTGTACAAAATTGATGGCCCCCAGCTCCTAGAACAAAATGGTTGATCCCCTTAAAATCATCATCATCATCACACACACACCCACCCACCCATCCCTCCATCATGCATAAATTAGGAATGGTCCCTAGGGACTTATGTTGGAGACTGATGAATGTCTTGTGATGATATCACCTTTTCAAGTTTGCGCGATTGTTGATTGCATGTTAAACAATATTCAGTCAGTTACTCTAACTTTTTTTGAAAGTTCCATTTCACACACCAGGTAAAATTTAACCAAATTCAACATTCATTATTATCAACACTCAGTATAACTCTTCAACCTTGTATCACATAGAAATGACTTTGGTAAATGAGAAAGGCAAACCTATAGAAAGTTATTTTTGATGTAATTGTCGTACCATTCATGACTGTCATCTTGACTTGTCATGATATTATCCAGGAAAGTAGAAATCTTATCCCAACATTTTATAAATAAATATTCATATAACATTTAGGTATCTTCGTTTGACATTATTATGGAGTTGTTTCTCCTCTGTGGTTTTTGTTGATAGTAAAGGTGTTAATATTACAGTTAGAGTAATATATTATGGTAACCTGCATGAAAACATTGTCACTGTCTATCTATAGAACACTCAGTGGTTGTATTCCTGCAAGAATTTAATGTATTTCTGTTTGGAGATAAAGGATATTTCCAACTAGTAATACTTTATTTTTCAGTTTATGATTTAACATAAACAGCTGTTGGTTTCAAAAATCAAGAAATGTTGTGTATGTGTGAAAGGGCTGGTGTCAGTGTGGGAAAGGGGGCTAGTAGGGGGGAGTGGGCTGTATTAGTGTGGGAATTATGGGAGTGGTGTCAGTGTGGGAAGGGGGGCTATAGTGGTGTCAGTGGTTGTAGGGCAGTAGTGGGAATTTCTGAGGGGGATAAAGGATAGTAGGAAAGGTGTCAGTTATTTCAGGAAGGGGGCTAGTAGGACAGGTGGTGTCAGTGTGGGAAGGGTTGTAGTAGGGGGTGGTGTCAGTGTGGGAAGGGGGCTAGTAGGGGTGGTGTGTCAGTGTGGGAAGGGGCTAGTAGGGGTTGGTGTGTCAGTGTGGGAAGGGGCTAGTAGGGGTGGTGTCAGTGTGGGAAGGGGCTAGTAGCTAGTAGGGGTGGTGTCAAGTAGTGGGAAGGGGCTAGCTAGTAGAGGGTGGTGTCAGTGTGGGAAGGGGGCTAGTAGGGGTGGTGTCAGTGTGGGAAGGGGGCTAGTAGGGGGCTAGTAGGTGTCAGTGTGGGAAGGGGGCTAGTAGGGGTGGTGTCAGTGTGGGAAAGGGGGCTAGTAGGGAAAGGGGGGTAGGGGTGGTGTCAGTGTGGGAAGGGGCTAGTAGGGGTTGGTGTCAGTGTGGGAAGGGAAGGGCTAGTAGGGGGTGGTGTCAGTATGGGAAGGGGCTAGTAGGGAGGTGGTGTCAGTGTGGGAAGGATGCTGTGGGGGTAGTGTGGGGGAGCTAGTAGGGGTGGTGTCAGTGTGGGAAGGGGGCTGCTAGTAGGGGTGGGTGTCAGTGTGGGAAGGGGGCTAGTAGGGGTGGTGTCAGTGTGGGAAGGGGCTAGTAGGGGTGGTGTCAGTGAGGGGGGAAGGGGCTAGTAGGGTGGTGTCAGTGTGGGAAGAAGGGCTGTAGTAGGGGTGGTGTCAGTGTGGGAAGGGGGCTAGTAGGGGTGGTGTCCAAGTGTGGGAAGGGGGGCTAGTAGGGTGTGGTGTCAGTGTGGGAAGGGGGCTAGTAGGGGTGTGGTGTCAGTGTGGGAAGAGGGGGGCTAGTAGGGGTGGTGTCAGTGTGGGAAGGGCTAGTAGGTGGTGGTGAGTAGGGGTGGTGTCAGTATGGGAAGGGGTGCTAGTAGGGGTGAGGTGTCAGTGTGGGAAGGGGGCTAGTAGGGTGAGTGGTGTCAGTGTGGGAAGGGGCTAGTAGGGGTGTGGTGTCAGTTGTGGGAAGGGAGGGCTAGTAGGGGTGGTGTGGGGGAAGTCAGTAGTGGGAAGTGTGGGAAGGTGCTAGTAGGGGTGAGTGTGTCAGTGTGGGAAGGGGGGTTGCTAAGTAGGGGTGGTGTCAGTGTGGGAAGAGGGGGCTAGTAGGGGTGGTGTCCAGTGTGGGAAGGGGCTAGTAGGGTAGGTGTCCCAGTGTGGGAAGGGGTGCTGCTAGTAGGGGTGGTGTCAGTGTGGGAAGGGGCTAGTAGGGGAGTGGTGTCAGTGTGGGAAGGGGCTAGTAGGGGTGGTGTCAGTGTGGGAAGGGGCTAGTAGGGGTGGTGTCAGTGTGGGAAGGGGCTAGTAGGGGTGGTGTCAGTGTGGGAAGGGGGCTAGTAGGGGTGGTGTCAGTATGGGAAGGGGGCTAGTAGGGGTGGTGTCAGTGTGGGAAGGGGCTAGTAAATGGGGTGGTGTCAGTGTGGGAAGGGGAGCTAGTAGGGGTGGTGTCAGTGTGGGAAGGGGCTAGTAGGGAGGGTGTCAGTGTGGGAAGGGGCTAGTAGGGGTGGTGTCAGTGTGGGAAGGGGGGCTAGTAGGGGTGAGGTGTCAGTATGGGAAGGGCTAGTAGTACAGTGGTGTCAGTATGGGAAGGGGGGCTAGTAGGGGTGGGTGGTGTCAGTGTGGGAAGGGGGGAGCTAGTAGGGGTGGGTGTCAGTGTGGGAAGGGGCTAGTAGGAAGTGGTGTCAGTGTGGGAAGGGGGCTAGTAGGGGTGGTGGTGTCAGTGTGGGAAGAGGCATGCTAGTATTGGTGAGTGTCAGTAGTAGGAAGAGGGGAGCTAGTAGGGGCTGTAGTGTTGAGTGTGGGAAGGGGGGCTAGTAGGGTTGAGTGGTGTCCGAGTGTGGGAAAGGGGGCTAGTAGGGGTTGGTGTCAGTGTGGGAAGGGGGCTAAGTAGGGGTGGTGTCAGTGTGGGAAGGGGCTAGTATTGGTGGTGTCAGTGTGGGAAGGGGGCTAGTAGGGGGTGAGGAAAAGGGCTGGATGGTGTCAGTGTGGGAAGGGGGCTAGTATGGTGGTGTCAGTGTGGGAAGGGGCTAGTAGGGGGTGGTGTCAGTGTGGGAAGGGGCTAGTAGGGGTGGTGTCAGTGTGGGAAGGGGCTAAGTAGGGGTGGTGTCAGTGTGGGAGGGGGCTGGGGAATTGGGTGTCTGTGGGAAGGGCTGGTGTCGGTGTGGGAAGGGTGCTAGTAGGGGTGGTGTCAGTGTGGGAAGGGGCTGGTAGGGGTGGTGTCAGTGTGGGAAGGGGCTAGTAGGGGTGGTGTCAGTGTGGGAAGGGGGCTAGGTAGAGGTGGTGTCAGTGTGGGATGGGCCTGGTGTCAGGTGGGATAGTGTCAGTGTGGGATGGAGGCTGGTGGGGGTGGTGTCAGCGTGGGAACTGTGGTGTAGTGGGTCATGGTAGGATGGAGGCTAGTGGGTGATGGATGTCACTGTAGGAGGAAGTGCCTTTTTCTAACCTGTGTCACGATTAGTAAAATTTGTGGAGTCTCATTCATCTGTATGATGTACATAAAGGTGCTGAAGCCAAA